TACAATTCTAAGGCATTTGTTCTTTGTCCTTAGTTTATTCATGCGATGCATGTTATTCTGAACAAGCAGCGGGAAAGGTTTTGGTTCCTACTCTGCTCGATGGGCAAATTTTTGAATCTACATTTACTTCTTTTTGTTCGAATATGTTCAGAGGCGGATTTACTGTGAAAAATGTGGTTCACGTGAACCCATGGTCCCTCGGTTAAAATACGTATATGATGTACATAATTTGCAAAAAAGTAATTATATATATCTGCTGGCACCCATGGTTAAAAAGGGTGAAGTGGTGCATTGGTTTTGCCTTCTTATTCCTAAAAGCCTAAGGGCAAGGGATCGAATCCCTGCTTGGCTTTTGGTTATTTTATTTGTTTTTCTTAAATCTTTTTTTTTCTCTTTCTATTTATTTATTCTAACGCAACCTTTCATATATCCTATTAGATATATCAGTGCCCAACTTCTACACAAAGATGACAATCCACACGGTTCCCCAATTCCCAAATATCAAAATTATTCCCTAATTCCTAATCTCAATTTATCCCAAAAGCCAAAAGGTAATACGTTAAAAAGAATAAGCAAAACCCTAGTTCCTATTTTGATTTGTTCTTGTTTCTTGTTCTAAAAGCTAAAGCTAATCTTGACATCTTGTCTCCATTTACTCTCTAACTGCTTGTGCAATGCTATTTTCCAATTCCTCCAAGGTAAGGTCCAATCTTTTTCTAAACTAGTTAATAAGTTTTCTTGTAGGTTTATTCCGATTTTGGGATTTTTTTTTTCCTGTAACTACTGAATGAAGGAGATTTTTTCTGATTTAGATTTATTTTGATAACTTTTCTTGAGCTAATCCTTTTTGATTGATAATTTGATATTGAATTACCAGCCCACTTCGATTGTAGTAACCGGAAATCAGACAGTTTAGCATTTGTCAAGGTGTTGGTTAACATATTTGAACAAAAAGAAGTAAATGTAGATTCAACGATTTGTCCATCGAGCAGAGTAGGAACCAAAACATTTCCCGCTGCTGGCTCAGAATAACATGCATCGCATGAATAAACTAAGGACAAAGAACAAATGCCTTAGAATTGTAGTTTAAAATAGTCGACTCAGTAGATTGGACTGCTTGATTTGCATGATGTACTCACTGTCACCAAGAATTAACTGATGGAAGCCTTCTATGTAGGAACTTAACGCAGCAGTGGGCAAGCATTTCCATTTGATCTCAAAGATAAAATTATCAAAAGTTGCAGAAGAACTGGTAAGTTTTCATTTTATTTTAATTGAACTTGAAAGGGGTGTGATTCCTCTATTTTATTATGTTTGAAAGGGTGTGATTCCCTTATTTTCTTGAATACAGAAAGGGTGTGATTCCTCTTGTTTATTATGAATTTAAAAGTGTGATTCCCTTAGTTTTATTATGAATTTGAATTTTGATGATGGGAGATATTTGAATTTGTAGGAACATCAAAATGGATAAATTTGTGATCAGGTCAAACATTGGCCAATCAAGTTCCAATAGTAGTAGTCGGCCTTCTGTTAGTTCGAATATAGCTCCTGAAATCCAAAGAGGGACAATCTTATCCCCTCCTTCAAATGTTGTTAGTGTTCTTGAGCTAGGATCTCCCAATCCTAATCCCAAAGAAAGAATGGCGATTCTTCAGTATGCCCCTAATATCCGAGATGAAGTGAGGAGACATTATATTCAAAAAGGGGTTTGTCAACCGAGTGGCCATGCTTTCCCTAAAACTAAATTTGGGAACAAAATGCGTCAATTTAATCCTGATTGGTTTAAGGATCCATATTCTCAATGGTTGGAATATAGCATAAAAAGTGATGCTGCATTTTGTTTGTGTTGTTATTTATTTAAGAATGAACTTGAAAGTCGCGGTAATGCGGGAGATGCATTTACAAAAGATAGTTTTAAGGGTTGGAACAAGGGTACGGAAAGACTTAGAACGCATGTCGGGGAAGTAAGTAGTATCCATCACAAATGTTTTAATAGGATGCAAGATTTGATAAATCAAGAACAATCGATTCAATCTTCTTTTCACAAGCAAAGTGAGAAAGTAAAAAGTGATCATCGGATACGTTTAAATGCCTCGGTTGATGTGGTAAGATTTCTCTTGAGAAATGGATTGTCATTTCGTGGTCATAATGAAAGTGAAGATTCCGAATACAAAGGTCTTTTTCTTGAACTTTTGGAATTTCATGGGGATAAGCATTTAGATGTGGGAAATGTAATATTACATAAAGCTCCAAAAAATGATATGATGATTTGTTCAGCAATTCAAAAGGATATTGTGGATGCTTGTGCTAAAGAAACAATTAAAACTATTATCCAAGATTTGGATGATGACTTTTTTGGGATATTGGTTGATGAATCAAAGGACATCTCACATAAAGAGCAAATGTCCCTTGTTATACGATATGTTAACAAAAGAGGGGAGGTGATTGAGCGCTTTTTGGGTATTGTCCATGTGAATGATACATCTGCACTATTATTACGGAAAACAATTTATGATTTGCTTTTGGATCACTCCTTAAGCTCATCCAAGCTACGTGGACAAGGTTACGATGGAGCTAGTAATATGCAAGGAAGAATAAATGGTCTAAAGTCTTTGATTTTACAAGATGTTCCATCTGCCTATTGTGTTCATTGTTTTGCCCCTCAGTTGCAATTAACACTTGCAGCTCTTTCTAAAAAGCATCCGGATGTGACTAATTTTTTTGATGTTGTCACTAACACATTGAATACTATTGGAGCATCTTTTAAACGCAGGGAAATACTTCGACAACACCAAGTAGAGAAGTTGGAAGAATTACTTAAGTCTGGAGAAATACTTACCGGCCAAGGATTGAATCAAGAACGTGGGCTCCAACGACCGGGTGATACCCGTTGGGGTTCGCATTTTAAGACCTTGGAAAATTTCTTGATTATATTTTCTTCGATTGTTAACATGCTTAATGATATGCAACAAGATAGTCTTCTTTCTCTTGATAGATTTGCAGCAAAAAATCTTTTGGGTAATATTCAAGAATTTGAGTTTGTGTTTTTATTGCACTTGATGTTCAAGATGTTGCTTTTTACAAATGAATTGAACAAAGCTTTACAAAAGAAAGATCAAGACATAGTCAATGTTATGAGGTTGCTTGACCTTGCAAAGATAAGATTGCAGACTATGGAGAAAGTGAATTCGAGTTCTTAATGAATGAAGTTTACTCGTTCTGTGGTAAACATGATATTATGATCCCCAAAATGGATGAAGACTATCCAAGATCGAAACGAAAGAGGTCGGGAGTTTCATATTCACATTACTTTAGTGTGGAAATATTTTAAGCAGCTATTGATTTGCAGCTTCATGAGTTAAATAGTCATTTTGATGTAGTGACTAGTGACTTACTCCTTGGTATGGCTTGTTTGAATCCGATTGATTTATTTGCTAATTATGACAAAGACAGAATAATGAAGTTGGCCGAGTATTATCCAAATGAGTTTGATGACAACAAGCTTCGAGATCTCAGCTTTCAACTTGATAGTTTCATTGTCTATGCTCGAATGCCTCTTAGCAAATTTATCAACTTGAAGGGAATGAAGGATCTTGCTATAGTGATGGCAGAGACGAAATTGGATCAAACTTGGTGTCATATTTATTTACTTATGAAGTTGACTTTGATTCTACTTGTTGCTACTGCAAGCGTGGAAAGGGCATTCTCCTCAATGAAGCTCATAAAAAGTGATCTACGTAATAGCATTAGTGAAGAGTTTTTGAATGGTTGTTTAGTTTGCAATATAAAGCATAAGGTATTTGCAACTGTAAGTAATAATGCTATTATTGATCATTTTCAAAGTATGAAAACTCGTCGCGTACAATTGCAAATTGATAATATTTGTTTTTGTGATAATGTAACTAATTATTTTTTTGCTCGGTAAGTTGTTGAGATTGTAAAATTTTATATTATCAAACTAAATGTTAATCTTGAAAGTAATGGTGCACCCATCATCCCGAATTTCTAGATCCGCCTCTGAATATGTTAACTAACACCTTGACAAATGCTAAACTGTCTGATTTCCGGTTACTACAATCGAAGTGGGCTGGTAATTCAATATCAAATTATCAATCAAAAAGGATTAGCTCAAGAAAAGTTATCAAAATAAATCTAAATCAGAAAAAATCTCCTTCATTCAGTAGTTACAGGAAAAAAAATCCCAAAATCGGAATAAACCTACAAGAAAACCTATTAACTAGTTTAGACAAAGATTGGACCTTACCTTGGAGGAATTGGAAAATAGCATTGCACAAGCAGTTAGAGAGTAAATGGAGACAAGATGTCAATATTAGCTTTAGCTTTTTGAACAAGAAACAAGAACAAATCAAAATAGGAACTAGGGTTTTGCTTCTTCTTTTTAACGTATTACCTTTTGGCTTTTGGGATAAATTGAGATTAGGAATTAGGGAATAATTTTGATATTTGGGAATTGGGGAACCGTGTGGATTGTCATCTCTGTGTAGAAGTTGGGCACTGATATATCTAATAGGATATATGAAAGACTGCGTTAGAATAAATAAATAGAAAGAGAAAAAAAAAGATTTAAGAAAAACAAATAAAATAACCAAAAGCCAAGCAGGGATTCGATCCCTTGCCCTTAGGCTTTTAGGAATAAGAAGGCAAAACCAATGCACCACTTCACCCTTTTTGACCATGGGTGCCAACAAATATATATAACTACTTTTTTGCAAATTATGTACATCATATACGTATTTTAGCCGAGGGACCATGGGTTCACGTGAACCACATTTTTCACAGTAAATCCGCCTCTGAATATTAGCTTTAGCTTTTAGAACAAGAAACAAGAACAAATCAAAATAGGAACTAGGGTTTTGCTTCTTCTTTTTAACGTGTGACCTTTTGGCTTTTGGGATAAATTGAGATTAGGAATTAGGGAATAATTTTGATATTTGGGAAGTGGGGAACCGTGTGGATTGTCATCTCTGTGTAGAAGTTGGGCACTGATATATCTAATAGAATATATGAAAGGCTGCGTTAGAATAAATAAATAGAAAGAGAAAAAAAAAAGATTTAAGAAAAACAAATAAAATAACCAAAAAGCCAAGTAGGGATTCGATCCCTTGCCCTTAGGCTTTTAGGAATAAGAAGGCAAAACCAATGCACCACTTCACCCTTTTTGACCATAGGTGTAGCAAATATATATAACTACATTTTTGCAAATTATGTACATCATATACATATTTTAGCCGAGGGACCATGGGTTCACGTGAACCACATTTTTCACAGTAAATCCGCCTCTGCCTGAATGAAATCTTACCTCCTTCCATAGACAATGCAAAATCATAGTCAACACGAGTTATCAAACCTGAAAGGAGATTGTATGTTTCAATTGATCATTTAGCTATGTACATACCTTTGATTCGGTTGCATCAGTTGTCATGGACAGGGTGATATTTTCACCCAAATTTTCAGCAAAACTTCTTAAGCACTGAAACAAGCAAATTGTAAAAGCACGCATAAATTCAATCTCAACTTCCATTAGCCTTGAACCAACCACTGAAAACGAGCTTGGGAGTTTTTCGTGTGTATGTATTAGCTTGAGGAAACGTAAATTGGGAGTAACAATGATAACATCATCCAGGTTAACAATGCCACATAAGGTCAAATTCTCCAATTCATGACTCAAAAGATTGATTTTATTCAATCTTTCACGTAAACAAATAAACAATGATTTAAGACACGAGAATGCTGTGAAAATCTCTGGAGGAAATCCGATGGGAATGACTGCACAATCTATTTTAAGGACTTGTAGCTTAGTGCAAGTGCATAAATCAAAATTTTGTACTTCTACTAGATTTGAAGTCAACAAGTGAAACTCCAGCAAATTTCGAGCTTTTATTTCAATTGTCCTAATTATGGCGCCCCTCACATGAACCTCTTTAAGTTCATTCAGATCAGGCAGTACGATTGAAAAAAGGTTTTCACAATATATCAAAGTTAACTCAACAATTGAAGGGCACTTGTGAATAAACTTGGAGAAAGTTATGGGATATATACTACTGTGATCAAAATATATCTCTTTCAATAGAGGCAACTCCTTAATTTCAACAATGTATTCCTCCTTAATATTGCAACGTTTTAAGTGCAGAACGGTTAATAATCTTGACTCAAAAATTGACGAGGACAATTTGAAAATAGGAACACTACCTAATAAATTGTTGATGTCCGCAGCAGCATGTTTGATCACACGGTAGCTCTTCTCATCACATCCAATATTACAGGGATTCCGAGTGTAGTATCGACAGTATGTATCTATTATTACAAATTTGCGGTCATCGAATGATGCTATTATGTTACGACAACTTGTGGAAACAAGGGATGCTATTGCTCTCTGTTTGAGATTGAGAGAATGAAGGATTTTGTGGAGATTTTCATCTGGTAATGCGGATAGGGAATCAGAAGCAATGGAGGCCATGAATTCGTGCGTATGTCAAAGTCTGTAAGTTTTCATTTTGTAGGGTTAGGAAGAAATTGAATTCCGTGAAATTTTTAATTTTACTTCATATAAGAAAGTATTAAAATGTAAATGTATGTTATGTTTAGTAATGAAAAGTGTCATAGAATTCTACAGTAGTTTAACTTCTTTTCCTAAAACTTAAGCGCTTCTATAAATAGGACTAGCCCCTCGAGAAATTTTCCGTGCGAAGCACGGTTATAAAATTATCATTGAATTCAAAAATGATCTTTAGCAAAATTTAGTAGATATGTATAAAAGATAAAATTTCTTATATAATATATATACACACATATGAAAAATAATTCTACATATTTGGTGAAATTAAAACTTACTGTAGTATTTTAGTTTGAATTTGAGTTCAGATGAATTGCATTTTTAGCCAACTTTTTCTATTAGATAGTAAAACTTTCATTTTTCTGAAATTTCTTCTATTCAAATAAAAGAAATATGAAATAAAAAGTAAAGAAAGAAATAATAAAAAGAAAGCAATGCATAGCACTAACAGCTTGTTTGGATGGTTGTTACCTATTGTATTGTATCTTAGTGTTACTTGAAGTACGATGTTAGTTTTAATTGTTACTAAGATTTTATTGTATCGTATCGTTAAATTCGTCGTTACGTAACGATGAAATGTGCCACTTTATGTAACGACCGATTTGGTGTGGTCGCGTCGTTACCTTATCTTTTTTATCTCAATCTCACACTTCATTATTATTAAATAAAAAAGAACAATTATCCACCCATATTACCCATTAAAAATGGGTTGGATAATGAACTTTTTAAAAACGGGTTAAATATGGATAAGAACCATATTATTCCCCCTAAAAAATGGATAACTAATGGGTTTAATTTTTACATTTGTAAAGTCTCAAATTGGGGATTTCCTCAAGTTTGAGAACTAGGAATTCTCCCAAAAGTAATCATATTCAAGAAGCCATGAATAATATGGATATATAACCATATTATCCACCGATTAACCCATTTTGTATCTGTATTAAATATGGGTCAGGTCGCACAATTTATCCGTTTTTTCAATACCCGTTTTCGACCCGTTTTATATCCGACCCGCCCCTTTGCCACCCCAGGAAGAGCCATTATTTCCATTTTTCTTGTCAACATAGAAGTAAGTATATGAAAATGCAAGGCTCATTTATTTCTTATTCTTGTGGTAATAGTAAGTTTCTATATATTAGAAGAGCAACAGTTTCGACATGTGTGCTTCAATTCTTTTCAACAAAGTCTGAGGGCATTTAGGTCATTCACATGACCTCTATACGTGTCCTTTTGAGCGCTCCCTAGATACTACATGTAGTTTTTAAGCTACTCCCACATATACGCTTCCCTTTTCTTCTCTTCTAATATATCGTATACAATAGAATTACAGAGCTTACTCAAATTTTCTACTGTCTTCTCAAATCTCTTCAACTTGCAGGTAAATTTCTTACTCTTCAAAATGAATTTTGTTGCTATTTATGTGTTGTTTCTCCTTTTTTTTTCCAATTTGTTTCAACCCACATACAATTGTTTTTATATCAATGGTAAGATCATTAAGCAATGGAGGTTTACCTCAAATTCATGAAAATAAACTAAATTAAAGACAGATTTTGTCTATATTCAAGAAGATCCGGAAATTTTCGAGTTAGGGTTTTGATGAATGAAATTGGGAGAACTTTATTTTTTTTTTGTGGAGATGAATTGAAATCAAGAGTTCAGCTTTGAATATTCAATTTCTTTCAAAACTTGTATTGCAAATGTTTGTCTTCTTGCTCTAAAGTGTAGCTGCAGCTACTTTTTTTCCTCCTTTTTTCTTGGTTCTTCCTTCTGTTTGGGTCACTATTATTAGTTTTGAATTTAATGGTTCCTGATATCTTCTCCTCTCATTTTTTCATCTTTTTTCCCCTTTGTATTCTTCGGCTAATTTTGAAGTTTAGTGATTAAAATTTTCTCAACGGCGAAACTTTCTTCAACGGTCGAAAACCATCCCCAATGCCGGCGACACCCACCCCAACGGTCGAAAACCAGGCCAGCCATCCACGCAGGTAAATCCCACCCCAGCAAGAACGGACGCAGGAGACTTCAATCCATCGTCTCCATCTGTTCCTACGACTAAGCCTAGCTTAAATTCGTATGTTCAGTTTCTTCTTTCTTTTCTCTTATTACTGCTATTTGCTACTTCTTTACGGTATTCTCAGAAGAAACAGTAGAGACCATTTCTCAAAGATATTCCCTTTCTCTCTATTTGGGTGTTTCCAAGATTTGATTTTTACTCACTTTCTCTCACTAAAGATTGGATCTTTACATAGTTATTTTGAGTTTTCAACTTTGGCATTGTTATTTACTAAAGATTGCTTTAAGTTTGGGGAACATTTTGACCCTATTGTTTTCAAATCACGGAATTTCATCAT